CACTTTTTCATGTACTTGGTGTAATTTTTTCATTTTTTTGAAGTTTTATGTATCTCGCTTTCGGTCGCTAAGAGCGAATATATGTATCTCGCTTTGTTTAGAAGTAGCAGATAGCGCCACCAATGGGTATTACCATTTTCATGCAGAAAAATCTGCTGTAATACCGACCGGCCAAATCGGAGAGATCACGTGTTGTCGGTGTCTACTCTCTTAGCAATCGATAGTGGGTTCATTGATTGTATGTTTGTATTCGGCGGCAATAATAATAATCGTTTTACTGTTTAAACGTTAACATCGTTTAAAATTAATCATGCCTTCTCGGGGTGAAGATATTTTAAAGGGTTTTCAAGTGTATCCTTTTTTAATGTGTAGACATTGATGTTTCTGTCAAATAAATCGCAAATAAGCTTCACAATTTGTAGGTTAGGATAAGTAGTCAAACTTACCTTATTTCAGTCTTAAACTTTGTAGAATTAGGTTCCTTGACTGCCATTTATTACAGGAATTGGATGAATTTACGAGATGCTGATAACGGTAAAATATTATGGCAAGGAAACGAAGATTTGTAAGTATGAAATAAATTTGTGCTGTCAAAATACAATGTACAATATATATGATAAAACGAATTGTTTAAAGGTCTGTGCCGGAAGTTGAACACGAAGCAAGAGTTCCTAAAAAGATTTTAAAATGTCGAGCAATATCGCGGGAAATTAATTTCAGTTCAGCAGAACCAATGGAAAGATTTAGGTTAGAGCAAAAGGTGTTATTTAAAGGACGCTGTCTGGAGGAATGGTTTTTTGAGTTTGGCTTTGTAATACCTAATAGTACAAATACATGGCAAAGTGCAATTCAAGCAGCACCGGAAAGCCAAATGATGCCTGCCGATGTATTGAAGTAAGTATGTACTTTGTCATCATGAAATTTTATGTTTAATCTTTAAAAATATTCATTTATAATTATTTCTTATTTATTTATATCCAGCGGTAATGTCGTGATAGAGACGAAATTTTTTGACGATGATCTATTAGTCTCTACCAGCAGAGTTCGTCTATTTTACATCTGAACGCTTCCATTCTGTTCTAATATTACAACATGGGTCCAACTAATATGTTTCAACACATACTTGGAATGGAATATTAAAGATGACTATAACTTTAAACAAAGTGTATATTAAAAATTTTACTTCTTGTGCACCTACTGTGATATGCATGTGTTAAGTGTATTTTTTCCTAAGTCTGGAAGCACAGCACTATTCCGTTTAAAGTAATACTAATAAAGACTTATCGCGATAATGCTTGAACTGTGAAACGTGCACTTTTAAGGCACAATGTGTCTTCATTTATTAAGTATGGATGGATGTAGTAAATTTTATACATATAATACACCGATTTAATAAAGAAGTAAATATAAAAGACTTGTGTTTTAAATTATGCATTTAAGGCTAATCCCTTTTTCATAAAAATCGTTATCGAACGTTTAAAACGTCATGCCGAACGAATAATTCAGTGAAATACATTTCGAGTTTCCATGTTCTAAAATCTGAAAAATCGTAAATCTAAATTGTTCGTAAAACGCAAACGAGCATGTGAAGAACTAGATCTACCTTTTTTCCCACTGTACACACCCGTGCTATTGATTCGTGGTGTACAAGCAATACATTTTTGAGGCTTCACTACCCCTCTTGAAGGTGTTCATGTTGAATATACTCTATCCCCTACCCTGTCTACATCGCACAGGTGTAAGGAAAAAAAGGAAGAAAAGAGAAAAGAAATAGCGGAGTTGCGGAGCTGCTGTGGTACCCACACGAACTTCTGCTAGTGATTCAATTACCATTAGCCTATCCTTCATCGGCCTGCCGTTCGCTTAGTTTATTATATTTAATTAATTAAGCGACGATTACCGGGACTAAGTGGATCGCGATGGATATGAAAGAAGAAGACGATGGTGCGAACGAAAGTAGCAGGCAACTGTTTTTGGTGGGTGCACCGCGTGATCCATTGGTATCAGCTGGGGCGATCGTTGCTTCTGCTGGAGCACCAGACGAGATCAACCCTGGAGGAGATCTACAGTCGACTGCTCTGGCTAGTCTGATAGGCGCGCAATCTTCCTCGGTTTGCTTTCCTACAAAATTCTGTAAGTGCACCCTGCCACCCCAGACCTGATTTAATTAACTGCCACTTTCTACCTGTCGGCTCGTAAGTTGGAGCAGTCCTCAATTAAATTATTGCTAAATGCATTAAGCGAATCGGCAGCCCTTGTTTTAAATAGAGTTAGTGGTAATCAGTTTAACAGTTATGAACCATTTTACGGCATGTGAATTTCAACGCCATTAAGTGCAGCGTACAGTGAGTGAGTCTCCGATACAGTTCCTGACTTTACCAAAAGTGTTTCGCTTCTTCGTGTTTTGGCCCGTAGCACGCATTTGTTCAATTTTACAACGACATTGTATGGTCGATTACGCACCTAGCGAGTCACGCGTTTAAATCACCGCACTGATAGCGCCTGTGGATTGTTATAGCTTACGATTTCTCATCAAGTCCGGGAAGCGAGGACCGACAACCGTCCGGAGTTGGTAAACGAAAGCAGCGTAGATACCGCACCACATTCACCAATTTCCAGTTGGAGGAGTTGGAAAGAGCCTTTCAGAAAACACATTATCCTGATGTATTCTTTCGAGAAGAACTTGCACTTCGTATCCAATTGACAGAGGCCAGAGTGCAGGTAATAGATGTACTGTCCAATACTCGAGATGCAATCATCGGGGATCACAGATTTCAATGTTCACTGTTTCCAGGTATGGTTTCAAAACAGAAGAGCAAAATGGAGAAAACAGGAAAAACAGTGTAAAGTAACCACTCACTTGACGTCGCATTTGCCACCTTCCGACTGCCAGGAAGTTCAGCAACAACAACAACAGCAGCAATCGGATCATTTACTGTTAGAACCACCATTGGGTAGTCCGCCACCTATATATCTTGGCATGGAATGGGCTGGTTTTTCACCATACAGTAATACAGCCACTGCGTCGCCTCTCGTGGTCAATAGTATGAACAAACCATTGGAATTGGAGACAGATGATAATCCTTTGTTGGATCCAGAGCTGTTGCAACTAAAAACTTCACGTTCCTAATGATACAGTTCTAAGTCTATACCGTAGTGTAGCGCGCCAACAATATTCCTTTTATCATATTATACATTTTTAAAACACAAAATGTCTATTGCAAGTGACTACTGCAAACGTCATTTGAGTTTTATCATATATTGTGCAATCTTATTACCAGTTTTTGCTGGTATATTGTAAGTAATTTAAAAATATGGGACCAAAAATTTATCAGCGAGAACGGGACAAACATTAAAACCCAGAATACTTCAAATATTGTTATGTAGATTTTGTAAGAATATACATCTAGATTTATTCTTTTTGTGGGTACAATGAATCCCAAATAAGCAATGTTAATTGTATGTTACAAATCAAAATTAAATTTGTACCCTTAGAAAACCGATGAAAGAGATTTTTCCCAAACATAAAATAGTAACGTTAGCTTTATTCGGTGTGCATATATTACAAATCATTGAATTAACTAAATTATTCATTGATCGATTTAGGAGCAAGTAAGCAATTTGGGATGCTTCCTCTGATCTTTCAAACGCAAGAGCGAGGGAGCAAAGAATCGAGAGAGAGAGAGAGAGAGAGAGAGAGAGAGAGAGAGAGAGATATTCAGAAGTATCATTGACAAGTTCTTTTATCGAGACAATCGAGCAGAGAAAAGCCTACAACTATTTTATAGAAATGTTCTTAAATGTTCTTGTATTATGAACGATCAAAGAGCATCCCAAATTAAATAAATTAATGATGGTGACAGATGGTATAGATGGTAAAATTATGCAACGTACGAATACTCATCTGCATTATTTGGCGTACGTTCGATATACTGCTTATCTATAAGGGCTTCGATACATTTTTTGATCATGCCAATCGAAGGTGCAAATGTAACCTTAGATTGACTTAGTACCTGGAAGAATGACATCAATTGTATGAGTTGGATCGACTATCATGAAAACTAAATCAAAATAAAATCTCACCTCTTGTATAAGTTGATTGTGTTTCAAAACCTGACGACTCTTCATAATACGGACTATAGCAGCTTGCAGGTACATTTTTCTGTCTTCATCGACGCTGCGATGGGTAGCCTCAGTATCGTGACTTTCGTGGGGTATATCCCGTTGCAACGCACCCGTTACGCGGAATTTCGTTCTCTTATTGGAGTAATCAAAATTGAGCGTCAAAACTGTGTCTTCCTCTAATTCCCCGGTCGTCGACTTTTTTAAAATTTTACAATCGACCAAACTAGCGGCGTGTTTAACCAGTTGATCATGTGACAAACGTAACGATGCAGCAGCTTCTCGGCAGTGTATCGAATTGCAATGCTCGAAAAGAAGCAGCAACGCCATTTGGTATGTTTGTACAATGACCAAATAAGGTTTCTTTAAGTAATTAAACTTTAGTTCGCCTTGACAAAGATGATGTAACCAAGTAAGTTTCCGTCCACTAAATTGTGCGTGATAAAAAGTTTCGAATGCTTGTATAGACTTTTCTAATTGCTGAGGGATATGAAACGGTCCTGGGGATGGTGGTAAAGCTAACGGCCACGCGCCTGCCTGTAACACGTACACTACAAAACCTATGCCTAATTGATTCTCCCTGTCTCCTTCTCGTAAACTGGCTGCGAATTTGGCATTCAGGTCCGCTGAAACTGACATGTCGGTAAACATCCTGTGAAGCTTGTTCGTGAATTCGTAGCCACAGGCTTGTTTTAAACGATCGATCATGGATTCCTCGGCGTCCATCGATTGCGACTGTTGATGTATTAATCGTTTCGCTAGCATACGTGCGTAGAATTTTTGAAAGACATCTTTGTCGTCGACATATTTGAACACGATGATGCAACGACCCAGTTTCTCTTCGACTTCCACTTCTGATGCAGCCTTAGCTGATTTTCTCAGCAAGGAATCGCAATACTTAGCTAGCTAAATTGAAAATGTTATATGAAACAAAACTTTGATTAATTATTGTACAAATTACTTAGTAGTAATAACTAGTAATGGGACTGATACGATACATATCGGCGATATTCGAGGAATTCGATACAAAAATCCATCCTTGAAAATACCTTCCGACACGTAACGAAATTTAGATACTTAGTATCAGTTTGTGATATTGTGTTTTTTGGAGTAAATAATGTTTTGTACTATTGCAATGTATCAAAAATAAGAAATAAAGTCTAATTAGTATAAAATTTAAATACATTATTTTGAAGTTGTATCTATTTGTAACTGATTATTTTGTGTCTATCAAAAGTCTCATTTTTGATACAGTTGTGATAGTATTGGTACCGCTAGGTATTCATTCTAAAAAAACTCAACAACAATACCAAGTATGTGCTGTATATAAACGTTATGAAATGATACTTTCATGTAGGTATCAAAACGACTCGATATAGGGATACTGCTATTTGGTATTCAGAGAATTGATACGATATCAGTCCCATTGCTAGCAATAATCAGCAACTAAAAAGTTACTCACTAGTTCAGGTGCTCTTGCTGGTTGGCGTGGAACAGATCTATGATTCACAACAGCTGAGCAAGCTTTATCAAGAGCAGCTACAAAGGCTAAATCAGCTTTGAACACGTCTTTGATCAATTCCGAGTATTTTTGATGTACATTCAGTATGCTTTCCACAAATTGTGTGTGTACCTATTATATACAATTATAGAGTGGTAATATTGTACCATTTTTATAAATGATAAATGTATATTCGTCACTGCCTCTTTCCTTACATTTTCTCCTTGCAAACTTCCAATTGCCTTTAAACCTTGTTGAGTGATGTGTTCGGTAATTTTTCGTACAAGAGGAGTCAAGCCAGCAGGTAATGGCCTTAATAATGGATACAGGAGGGATAAGTCCCTTCTACATTCATTTTCTATCATATTTTCTGCTTCCGTGTGAAGCCAGGTCACATATGTGGCTATCATCTTTTCTTCACAGCATTGTTCCACCTGCAAAATATTACTGTCGAACAACCAACTACTTTAAATTAATTGACTTCTCATGTAACACATAAGAAAAAGAGCATACTTTAGGCACAGAGCTTGAGTGAAGGAACTTAATAGCACGTAGCTTTTCCTGGCCGAGTTGTGAAGTAACTTTTTCCATATAAAGTGTTATGTCTGATAGCTGGCGTAATTTAAATGCATATTTCATATAAAATTCTCCGCTAGCTACGAGAAATGGTGTTTCAAATATTGTTTGATACATCTAGAACAGAATAAATTATATAAGATAGTTTTGCGACACAGAAGTACATTGAACAAACAGAAATGAAACATGAATAATTACATCCAGTTGTCCCACTAACTTATATTCTTCAACTCGAACAAAACTTTCTATAATACCCCAAATAACTTCTGTACTTGCTAGCTGAGCTATACCAAGTCTATCTGCACGAATACAGTCTAATAGTTGTGAAACTAACTGTTTCTTTAATGGTATAATCATTCTTTTCTTCCAAATATCTAAGCCAAGTTCGCCTATCTCCATTTGTTCTTGGTAATCAGCAGTCATAACGGAAGACATGCCATAAATAAGATCCGCTTCGGAAAGCTTTTGTTTTTTAATGTGTTGTTGATTTAGGTATAAGTACAAGCGATGCAAGTAGTTAATGCCTTGTGAATATTCACACCAGGCACGATGATATGCCTGTAGCAAACCAGATTCACCTTGAGCGCAAACTGTCGTCAACAATTGGAAGACATGATTGTCCAGAAACTTTTTTGTTTCATTGTACAATTCATCGGCAAGTGGTTCTGGATATGCCACGCATAAAGAATAGACATCGCTAAAACAAAACATAAATGATACACTTAAATAAAAACTTGACCAATATTTTAAATTTTGTGTTGCAATCCTAAGTACCGTTACCTAAATCTATCATTCCATGTTGCACGTGGAACGTTTGACAATGTTATTATACACTTTACAGTCTCTTCTAATACATTCCATGTTTGTTTAAAATTAACTCGTTTAGGTTTCAGTGACATCCTTTTATACAGTCAAAAAAGCACCAAGGAATTAAGTATATAAATTCTATATTACAAACACTAAACTTGTAACCCTACAAAAAATTATATTAATAAACAATGTTAAATCGTAATTCGTTCATAATATCCAAAGTAAATAAACAAATTATTGATAAAACTATCAAAGATAGGTTAAAAATCATATAATTAAGCATTAAAGACCAAGCACCTGAAATATATTCCAAGAATAATCTTTCAACTATAGATAAAAACTGAATTTATCAAGCTTTGTTCAAGCGTTTTGTACATCAGTGGTTTAAAAATAACATAAAGTAAAATACATAACAAGCGCATTTGCGTTTCATGGCCATCGCGGATTTCGTTCGATTTAAACACCTTATTCGTGCATAACTATAGGAGATTAATTCTTGGAATATTTTCGTAGCGCAAGTAAATCAAATTGATCAGCACTCGAAATAGCACTACGTTTTAATCGAACGATGAAAATCGTTCATGAATCGTCATTGACCGTGAACCGCAAACAATCATTTTTTAACGAGATTTTGAGTTATCATCATATTTAATATAATTAAATATTTAAACGAAACGTTTCGACTTGATCATTGAACGACTTATAAATCCCACGCATAAACGCGTGTTACGATCTACAGCTGACTGCTATGTACAATCCAGATGGTCATGATCGGAACCACTAACCAAAAAATTGGAGAAAGAGTGGTCTGTATATTCTCAGAGACACGATTGTCGATCGATTTTAATCTGCGTTAAGACGAATTCCTTCGGCACGCTTAACTTAGACGTTTCGTTCGAATCATTCCCTGTTGCAAAATACATGACATTTACAATGACTCGTCTCGATCGAACACATTTCTTTTTTTAATCCTATCTCGTCACTTTTCTTTCACTTTCAAAAACTGTTTGTCTCACTTAAAAAAGACGATGCACCCATGAACGATACAAACTCTTAATGTCTCCTATAAATGTTAATAAATAAAATATGACGGAACGAACTACATCGAATTTTTCAATAACATCGCAGAGCCATGTTTTTCCCCCTTTGCTCTTGACTTTCTTAGGTTCTTGGAGGGGATGATAGATAGACCGATTATTTAGAGATCCTACTCTCTATAAAACGAGGATATTCAATGTTACTCTTATGTGAATTCAAAACTCAAACGACTCGATGCATTTTATTTAAAAGTGTCGTTTTCTTTCGTTTTATTAAACATATTCGCTTGACGAGTTCGGTAAACTGTTACCAAGTCCACAAACTTGATCAAGAAGTGAAGTTTAATCAAGATAATTGATTGAAAATGATATTAATGTTCCCGCGCATATCTCACGTATGTTATGTATCGAAGTGATATTCAAATAAAAAATAAATATATAGGGTGTCCTAAAAATGTTGTAACACCTTTTACATGTTATTGGAAGGAGTGATTCGGGAGGTGATTTGAAATAACTTTTTCCTTAGCGAAAATGTTGTCCGAGGCTTCGTTAAGGGTGCGCAGGAGACCCAGCAAAACTCCGAGTTGATTTCAGCGATAATTGCGGAGAAAGTAGGAAGCTCTGGGACAAGGATAGATAGATCCTTGTCTTTCTAATGATGCTGTGACAGAGAGAGAGATACATCAATCGGAGGAGAGACAAAGACAGAATGATGTCAAACGTTTGCAATTTTCCAAATAGTTACTGTAATTTTATGAGGCGAGAAAGCGACCTTTCCGGCTGATTTTTTTTTTTAAACTGTTTCTTATAAAATACCGTTGCGGGGGACAGTTACACATTTTGCAATTCGCTTTTGAAACGTGCTAAAAATACGTTCATAAACAAGAAATTTTTTGTGGGTCTTTTTCCAAAAATCTGTAACTGTCCCCCGCAACAGCATTTTACAAGGAACAGTTTGAAAAAAAAATCAGCCAAAAAGGTTGCTTCCTCGCCTCATAAAATTACATTGGTGGTGTCGCTACGATTGGGACGATTCATATGCCAACATGGCTGCCTCAATATCGTGCTTTCCACTGCAGCGCTGTCGTCGTCTTCCTTTCTGTTACCGTGTCGACCATCTAAAGACGCTTTTCGACTTGGTTCGCAGGTATCGTAGTCGGGCCGGGTTTTTTTCGCGCACGCGCAGCGAACATAGAATCAATGAAGTACACGCACGACTAAAAAGGTGTATCTTAATTACCCCTGCATAATTTTACAAATATATTCATGATTTATGGACAAATGTAGGACAATATATAAAGACAATAATTATAGACAATATATAAATAATAAGGACAAATATATTCATGATTTCGCGTTCATAGCCACAATAGCCATAGCATCCTATACCTGTTACCCTGGATACGACACTGTTGACGGTCATTCTGGCAGTACATGGGCGAAAAAACTTGGCCTGGCTGGTATCACTGATCGTAGTATCGAACATAAGATATCGCTAGTTCGATCCCAAACTGCTGTGTATTTTTTTTATTCTTATTTTATACTTTGTTCGGCTGCCGAACATCTTGTATAATTTATAAAAAAAAAAATTTTGATATAAGAGGTAATATGAAATATAAAATACAAACAAATAGCCGAATACTTTCCTATTTCGCTGTATGTATATCGTGTTTGGTCTCATTGTAATCAAAAAAATCTTACAAATACATTGGAAAAAGTTAGATTTAAAAAAATTAATAAATAAAAAAGTTTTATTGTTACATTAGTATTGTCTCGCGCCCACCGATATGTTTTGGTTCCTAGCTTCGTGCCTTGGATCTCTCTCTCTCTCTCTCTCTCTCTCTCTCTCTCTCTCTCTCTCTCCTCTCTCCTCTCTCTGTCTCTTTCTATGTTCGCGCTCGGCTGGAGCCGCACGTAAACTTAGAATCGACACCTCGGCTGGTTATTATACCTACATACATTGTATGTGTAACTAAATGTTTCGATCAGCTTCGAATCCGTCCAAAGTTTGAAGGCGTCGACGAAGTAGGAAGAGACAGTTTGATGAAGAAGAAAGAGAGACTGACAAGGGAACGGGCCCAGATATGACGCTAATTTTTTGATGAGCCTTTGCACAGTGGAAAACTGAAGCGAATGATATTCAGTTTTGGGGGCAGATGATTTATAGTTTACGAGATATTCAACATTGAAGTTATTATTTGTTAGGAAATTCGAGACAGCTCGCCTAAACATTGGCGCATGGACGACAGGGCGTGATGCTGCGACGCCAGGCCCCCTCATAAATAACGTCGAAGGCCCTTCAAGAGCCTTCATTGACGGGGCTACGCAGAGACTTTCCCAGGCCGGGAAAGTCACTTCTTGGCCAGCTATCGTCGTATACAGAGCTCCACGAAATAAAATATCATTTGTTAAAGAATATTCGGCGTTCTATTCTTGCATTTATTTAATCGTCTTACAGATATATTTTTTAAAACAGACAATTTCCATTATGATGTACATGAACTTGGGTTATAATTTTCAAAAAAGCAGTGGAAACCAAATTTTTAATCACCATGTACATCGAATGAATGCTTTAGATTCACAACTGCAAAATTGTTTATTTAATTCTATTGGGAATACCGCTTGATTTACGTTAACGAAATGTACTCGATTTTTTGATAGCCATGATGCGTATCAAACATATCTATGTAGAATAGAGATAAATATATTGAAATTCATTACATGCTTTAACATGTAACATGCTAATAATATGACTTATTTATAACATGCTTTCTCATTTTAACGCTAGTAAAATCGAACGAATGGAACGTATACATGTACAACTAACAGTAGTATTCCGGAGAATACACACGCCAGAGAAAGAGAAAACATTACACACATTCTGTCCTCTTTACGCTTGGATTCTCTGCTATCGATGACTATTTCTTCAAAACAACTTGCACGCAAAGAATCACTATCACTAATCACTATAAAACGAAATAAACTTACGACCAAACATAAAAATCGTTGTAAAGACTTACTCACCTACAGCAAGTAGGTATTCCGGCATGATATGTTACGTTAAAAAATTAATTTTAACCTTAAAATATGCGTAAGGTAATATATAATATGCAGTATATAGTACATGATATCCAAAAAGTATATTTCTGATAGAAAATTGAAATAAAAAAAAAATACATCAATCAGGATTCGTACTCGGGGTCAAGCAGCGTTACAACCTAATACTCTACCAATCCATTCAACGAACCTTGCTAGATGCTTTTATTGTACATCGAAAACAAATACCCATTCTGAAAAAAGCCAAAATGGTTTTGCAGTACTACATGCGTACTCAACCCCCATAGGGTGTCATTGCAAAAGCGATTGCAACATTCGTCCCTTCCCTTTGTTAGTGTACTTTCTCTTATGTAATTACGTATATTCAAAAATAATGTTCATAAACGTTTTACCTTTTTTATTATACAATATTTTTTACATTGCATACTATCATTACATTCAACAAATAACAATTAGTACTTTATTATGTTCGTACCATATTACAAATATCATATCAGTTGTTTATTATTTACTACTTTGAAATTATCGTAACAGACTATTCTGTATCAATTAATTCCAATGCAATATAACAATCTTAACATACACATGACGTTTCTTAACAATACAATATTGAATATAAATACATATGCAAAAGTAAAATATATAAGCTCGGGCGCTTCATACTTTTAGTACGGTACTGAACCATGCTGAAAGGCATTTTTAGATTATCGGCACACCAGCAGCAGGAGAGACGACACCAGCGCTGTGGTGTGCTGTGGTGGAAAGGGTGAAACTCAAGCCATTGTGCAAGCGCATCAGTCTTCTCGATTTCATAACGACAACACCATTGTAATTTTATGAGGCGAGGAAGTGACCTTTCCGGCTGATTTTTTTTTTAAACTGTTCCTTATAAAATACCGTTGTGGGGAACAGTTACACATTTTGCAATTTCGCTTTTGAAACTGGCTAAAAATACGTTCAAAGACAAGAAATTTCTTTTTTTTCAATTTTTTCCAAAAAACGCTTGACGAGACGATAGATTTACTTCCCCTAATTATGAAATGCATAATTATGATATGTTTTTTTCATTATTGTGCCTGAAAAACGGGAAAAACTATCTAGTAGTTCACCTACTTTCCGTTGGTGGCGCCAGTTTATCTCCTGCGCACCCTTAAGCAGATATTAACATAAAACTTTGACCAATCAGAGCGCGCGTATACCGTTGGAGCGGCCGCGGTAGCGAAGGCTACGCCACAGCGGACTCTAGCACTAGCCATATTGAGAAACGTGGCAACACCGCTCAAGTCTATCGAGAGTGATCGAGAGTCCTATTTTCCAATATGAGAGTCTTGTGCTTCGTGTCATAATTAACAGTTTGTTCAATAGAAAACTATACTAATGTACACCATTTGTTATTAATTATGTAAAAGTGGGATATAAATATTGTGACTATAGTAAGTAAAAGTAGCGTAAAAGTATTTTAATATCTGTAAATGTAGTATAAATTTGATGGACTCTGAAAGTTGTTTGATGTTATGACGCATTAAACTTGAAATATTTACAGTGGTTTGAAGAAAATATAAGTGTAAGGAAGATAAAACCTTCTTTGGACCAAATTGAAGTGTTTGAAAATTAATAAGAGATATTTTAAGTTAATACAAACGTGAAATGGACAAAATTGTTGGTACGAAGCTAAAGAGGTTAAGTGAACGCGTGGAAGAGATAAAGGGAAGTTACCCAAGGAAAGAATTGTGCAGTTAATTACAAGAGTGTGTTACAGGTAAATTTCTTTACCACCCTAGGGGTATTTCTATGAGGCGTTACCTTTTTTAATCATAATCGGAAAATGCAAAATAATGAATATCTGATTGAATGCTAATATATGTTAATTTATATAAAATATGTGTATGATTTTCAGATTTTACAAATTAGGACTTCAAGTTAGCATCATTAATTATGGCTTCCATTATGGCATAGATATGACTGAATGCGGTCATTGCTTCTTCTGTAGGAACAGAAAGTCCTCCTCTTTATAAGCTATCAAAATATTTGTCGCTAATAGTTTTACCTTTATCCTCCACAATTAATAATTTACATATATTACAATTTAATTTTTGCTAATAGAATGGGAGCCATAACCAGATATGTAAATTTTAATGGAATCATCAACAACACAAGTGGATAAATATTCAGTTTCGAAGATTCCCAGAAAAACAAGTTACATCAATGGAAAGTTTTAGTCTAATATTTTTCTCTGCATGAACTACTTCATTGTATGAAACGTGATAATTACAACCAAATAAAAGTCTATAGTTTCCTAATCGTTTCTCTAATTTTTTAGTTCAAAATTTTCCTGCTAAAAGATATGTCAAAAGTTTGAAAACAGTACTACTCTATAAGTAGTAAAAGAACTCTAGTACTTTGATGTAAAGCTTTGAAAGTATCTAATGTTAAATGACCGTCTGTTTCCAAATTTTTCCAAAAATCTAACCATGTTAAAAATTTCTTTAAATATTCATATTTAAAATCCTTAATATTCAAAATCGGTTTAAAAAATTTGTTTCTTTTCCTGTTACCTTTAACACTACTTGTATTATTGTATAATTAAAATCTTTCATAACTGCGATTGTTGAATGATGGAAAATATTATTTACTAGAAAAACTTTTTGCCTATCAAAATTATTAAGAAACAATGACTTATAGTTTAATTTATAAGCTTTCTTAATAATTAAATATTTTTCAAAATCGTAAACTGTACGTAAATGGTTAAATTTAGCTAATCTTTATTCATTTGTATAAAAGTAGGGGAAAATAAAAGTTTTATTTAAATTTGTTAAATTTAACCAGTTATTTCTTATATTTTTCATTATATGAACAAAGTCAAAAGAAAGAAAAATAGTTTTATGAAAAGGCCGGTAGAGGGAGACAGTAGTTGGGTGGCCGGTTGTACCGAGAGGCCGGGAGGCTGATAGGGTAAGTTGGGTTAGGTATATCAAAGCCGGACGCTTGCACTGTTGCCATTTTTGTCTTAGCACGGCTAGTACTAAAGTCGGCTGTGGCTAAGCCATTGAGCTCTATCCTATTAGGATAATTCCTAGGGTATAATATATATTGTGACGTAGCAGATTCTCACATCACAAAGAGGTGAACTTTCCGCGGGGAATGAGACCGACCAAGATCGAGAGCGCCACCAGGGTAACTCAGGGTTATGACTAATTTGCGTATCTGAAGGGCAATAGCGTTGGGCTAACGACGGCAACACCGAGCGATGCGGCTTAGAGGCTACCGATCCCGTCCAACCCGGCGCCGGCTGCACGGACTGGCCAGATGAAGCTCAAATGCACAGGGGCTGCAGGATCTTGGTAACAGCTCATGGATTCCGCTACGACCTTCAGGGGGCAGGAGGCCGTTTAGGATAGCGAAGTCAGCCGGGTTCTCGAGTGCACCGAGACCCGGCCCGCTCCAGAGTCTTCGAGGGATGCCAGCACCGATACGCCACCAAAGTCGCCGAGGGACGAGACTAGACGACCGCCGATGACGAGCGCGCCGATAACGCGATTTGAATTTGGCAGCCATAAGGGCCGCGTGCCGCCGACCATTGAGGTGAGGCTGGGGGGAAGCGTTATTTCGTTAGCGACACACGTGGTGGACGGTACGGCAAGCGCTTCCTCTTTTACCTCACGCTCATGGATAAGATATCGGGAATTGGTCGGGTTACCTGGTGGCTGCCGAGCACCCTGTCGGGCGAAATAGCGTTGTTAGCGGGAAACCGCCTTTGCGTAGGATATCGAGCGAATTAACGAACATCTAGTCGCGTAGGCTACGCGCTAGGCAGTAGCGCTCCCCGACCAATCAGAGCGCGAATATGCCAATGTGTTTTATCTGTAAAATTATTTCAACCTCTATCCCTATGTTATAATTTATCCACACAATTAATATTATTGCATGCTAAAAAGTACTTTCAATTTTCATTTATAATTCTATTTTTTTGGGGGGGCGACTAAGGGCGCTAGTTTTATGGTCGTGTTAGCTACTTTATTGGCGCTAAACCAGTGCGCATGCGCGACTGGGAGCCAATCTGGTATCATTATCTCTATATTCCTATGTCCGTGGCATTGATCAACACTAGTGCACACCAAAGTGCACACAGGTGATCGTTAACTTCTCAATTACTAATGTTTTAAAATATTTCTCTACAACGACCTCTGTAACCAATAATGGCTTTTTATAAATTGTACTCAGCATTTCGACAAGTAACATTAAGCAGGCAAAGTATGTACTAGATTTAAGTTTTATTTAACCTAAAAGTAGAAATATAACTTATATCGTTTCTATTTATAATTAACATATATTATTATTGCATTGTTTTTACAGACAATGTTATTGGAAGATATCTTTCGTCCTATTTGTCAGGAAAGCAAAGTAGTGTTTTGCCATCATATGTTTCTAATAATCCAATGTGTATAACATATCCTGCAATGCACATTACATTCAAACCAAGAACACTTAATATAGATTTTGCCAATCCAGATGGTGTTAAGAATAAAAATATAATTGAAACACCATTTAAGAATATACCATCTATGGAAGAACCTTTAACGCAATATCCGAATCAACATGACATACCATTAATGGACAAATCTTTCGAGTTACCACCAAGTGAAAATGTTTGGGAAAAACTAGCGGTACGTCTAATAGTGATTAGAAGACATAAAATGAAGAAACATAAGAGAAGGAAGCTCCGTAAAAGGATGAAATATCTTTGGGCAAAAATAAGACTTAGACGTAGCCTGAGAAGAGAAAAAGAATTTCAAGCAGAATTAATTAATAAAATTAAAGTAGCTGAAGCATTTGATCCAAAAGCATATGTCAATGAAAGACTGTCTATTCTGCAGAGAGAATTTATACCAAGAACATATAAAGGTGAAATATTGCCACAATATGAAATCAAACAATTTCTTGATAAAGAAAAAGCTCAGAAGGAAAGACGTAAAAACAAAGTATGGTTGAAACTGGATTAAATGTATATAGTGAATAAATAAATGTTCTTCTATGAACTTTGTAAATACTTCAATTCTTTTTCATTATACAAATGAAACTTGATCTTCATAAAAAACTTTAAAAAAGTAAAAAAATTACGCCAAGTACATGAAAAAGTGGAAGACGAAAAGGAGTAATCACAAAAAAATAGATCTCCATAAAAAACTACAAGAAAGTAGAAGAAGATGTGAAATTAAAATGAGCTGCCAGTACATGAAGGCCCTTTTCATTAAAGTGCAAAGACGACACTGTGTAACACAATGTAAAATTCTCTGATTTCAATTATATGTGGCTAAAATGCTGTGTTCAACAATGCCAACGTTCAGACCCTAATGACTGCTCATTTCGATTTCACATCTTCTTCTACTTTCTTGTAGTTTTTTATGGAGATCTCCTATTTTTTTTGTGATTGCTCCTTTTTGTCCTCCACTTTGTCATGTACTTGGCGTAATTTTTTTACTTTTTTGAAGTTTTTTATGGGGATCTCACTTCTTTTTGCAAAGATAATTTGCATAGTGAATGGCTCCAAATACTTTTTATATTATATGTATAGTAATTTGTGTACAATACATGGTGCGTGTAGCAGCTTATGGCGCAGAATGTAATGAACATTGAGCTGTAATTACAACCACAATTACTACCTTCTGAAGAAAAAAAAAATATACATGTTGAATTGAGTAACCTCCTGCTTTTTCGAAGTCGGTTAAAAATATGTATACATTTTTTGAATTTCGTGGCTGAACTTGTTTTTCTACTCATAGATCATCAACAGTTACTCATGTGGTGTTGTTATCTCATACCATATTCGTGTAATGACCATCGAGAATACTTTCACCGTGTTGGAGAATCGCTGCCTTAAGTTTATAATAGTGATCTCTCATTTGTATTTTAGTAGTAGGTATTGCTATGATGCAGAAATTTTCCACTTTCGTTGTTCCATTATTATTATGATGGAACAAAAGTAATTTTGCAATAAGAATTTGTTTAGATGCAGTTACATTGACTTCCTTCATTATGTGTATGAATTTGAACTATCACAATTATTGCAAGGACTTTTCAGATTTATCCATCTTGTGAAATTGTATTTTATTATATCTTTAAATTCAAATGATTTTTTTAACATCTTGGGCAAGGCAAGGTGTATCACACAATTTCTTTAAGCTCTACATAAATAGTCAAAATTATTATTTTTTTAATTGAATAAAGAAAAAGAAAGGGAGATGGGGCAACAGAAGCGAATATATATATTTCATATGATATTAATTATAAACATTTATTTGTTTAATTCATGAATTAATATGAGTACCAGCAACTTTTTTTTCTTGTTGCAAGAAATTTAAATGTTTATGACGTAGTGATAAAATGAACAAAGAGATTCACTATTACTTACATACAATATATTGTATTAGATTATAAAATTAATCTAAGATGCTTCTCCATCTACAACTTTCTCCAGACAACCTCCACGTCTGTGAGTCCCCTTCGTTTCTTTAAGCTGTACATAAAGTCTACATTAAAAACACTTTGGTGGTATAGATCTATATTAAAAACAGTTTCCTGTACGAATAAAGTTATCGGGCAATTCAGATTTTAAAAACTTACTTTGCAATCAAAATTGATAAATACTTTACAACACTGGTTGCAATTTGTTAATGGACAACCTCCAATCCTGTGAGTCCCCTTCATTTCTACAAGCTCTACATAAAAAGTTTAAATTGAAGACACTTCGGTGGTATACTTTTATATTAAAAACAGTTTTCTGTATGAACACAGGTATCTGGCAATTCAGATTTTGACAACTTACCTTGTAATCAAAACTGATCAACACTTTACAACACTTGCTGTAATTTGTTAAACATAAAATGTCTAAATTAAAAACACTTTTGTGGTATAAATCTATATCAATAAAATAATTTTTGGAAAAAAAAATATAATCGACTTCGAAAAAATATTTAAACTGCACTAAAAAGTATGAAATAATTTCTAGTTAATTGATATGAATACTCACCAGTTCTAGATATAATTGCTTAAAAGTATGAAATAATTTCTATTTTATTTATATTAGATTATATTGAATAATATATTAAATTTTTATTTCCTTTATTTATACACATATACTGTCTACGTGAAGGTACTGTCTGAGAGGGTTTGATGTATTTGTTTTGGCAATGGGGAGGAGGCATATAGCGTACAGTTAATGTGTATACTATCTACACGGAAATACTATCTGAGTAGGTTTGGTATGGTATTTGGTGGGGTCGGCGATATTGAATAGTGTTAATGTCTATGATGTCTAAAGTAGATATAATGATACCAATAATTTCAGGGCATATGTTTCGTTCCTCCGAGCGAAAGTGAAACCAAGTTTTGTAATTTTTTAAATGTAAGTAATTGTTAATTTTCCACCGACTACGAAAAGGTTATTTAACATAATTTAATATAAAAGAAATAGAAATCTAGAGACGCGATAGCGTCTCGACGCCAAGTACATGAAAAAATAGCCTCCCCGTATATGTCTGGCGCTGGCGCTACCCCGTATCTTTTACTCGACAAAACGCGATTCCAACCTAACCCGAAACTTCTGTCATTAATATCTCGTCACGCCTGCTGTATTTTCGAAATTTAAAGGCATTTTTCTGATGTAAATCGCACATAAGCTTTCGAATAAAACAAAAATCAGTAAAATCGGTCCACGAACAACAAAGATATCGTAATATCATGTCATGAATGTGTCAAAACGGCAGCATTTTTCTTTTCCTTTGACAAGGAATTTTTCGTCAACACTTAGCCAATAGGAGCTAAGACCGTTCGTCGATTCGTCGACTCTCGGAATCAGTCGGCAAGGCTCATCGGTCGGAACTGTAATATGGCTGTCACTCATGCCGCTCGTTCATTTCTAACCTGTAACTGTCAGTTTGGATTTGTGTCATTTGGTTTCTTACAACAAGACTTTCTGACATGCATTGTGCGTATTTTTGAAAACTTAAAGGACTGTAACTGGAATTATAATACAATAAATTGTGCGTTACCAATAGTGGATCTCTTTGTACATTTTCCCACTTTGTTTATTAACATTTAAGTTTGTTACAACAAGACTTTCTGCCATGCGTTATGTGTGCTTTTGAAAACTTAAGAGTCTGAATCTGGTATTGTAATATAATAAGTTGTGCGTTATTCATATGACATTAATTTTATTTGTAAATAACACATACAAACCTTATTTTACTTGCAAATTAATGTAGAGCTTGAAATAAAAATACATTTGTCTTTTATTATCGTAAGCATAGAGTCTACAATATACATAATGTGTCTAAAGCCAGATATAGGAAAGAGACCAGCTTCAGTCCTTTAAGTTTCCAAAAGTATACAGAATGCATGGCAGGATGTCTCACTGCAAGAAATTTAAATGTTAAAGATGAAGCGAGAAATGAAAAAAGAAATCAACTAATTATAACGCATAATTTATTGTATTTGAATAAAGTTCAGAAGTAACGC